GTGAGCAGAGACAAGACAGCCCTGGAAAACAAATTTGCATCCATTACAACTTAGAAAGAAATGGATAATCAGGCTTCCAAAGGATATTTGAGGGATGGCTGTGATCATTCGAATATGAGGGGAAAAAAAGGTAGTAAATGCTAGTAAACACCTGCTACAAATGTGAAAAAAAAAAAAAGCTCAAAAATCCTCCTACAAATTTTTTATATTTAAATAATTAAATTTCCCAGTGGCCCACTAATATAATGTGATTTCACAATGTATCTGCAAACAATGAACAAACTGGCTTATTGAGTGTAATAGTTCTAAAACCTGCCTTGGCCTTCATACCCCTTGAGAACATTTTCTAAACAATAGATCCTCAGATCCCGCCTTACCACATGCACTAACTGAGAATATCCCCCAGAGACTCTGACTAAAATGCTTCCTAAGTGATTCCTATGCATCCAGATGTAGGAAGCACTGCAATTCTGTTCATTATTAACTAGAAGGCCAGATGCTCATTACCAAAAATGATTACCCTCTCCTTGCAGTAGTTGATATTTAGCCATTCTATCTGACAGTAATTAGATAGCACTGCGAAAATCACTCCCAATTTGTGACAATAAAATAATGTTCCCAGAACACATGAAAATGATTGTTTCCCTGTTCTCTCTAGCTGGAGAAGCAGCAGGCATCTGCACCAAGCTCACTCAAAACAAGTACCAAGTTATTAAGGAGCTCTTTGAAGAGGAGGGAAGGCAGTACACATCCCTGTTTCATCTGCTGGAAATTATTACCTGACACATCAGGAGACTGTTTCTAAGTGCAGGTTACATTGCAAGCTGATGGCCTGTACTGAGGGCATTTGGATAGATCTATAACTGATTCATGGACTTGGAGTCAAAGGACACCGAAAGATCAATAAAAACTGCACACGATCCTCCGTTGTTCCTGACAAATGTCTTCCAGAGAAGATAAAAACTATAAGAAAGCCTAAGTCATCATCTTCTCTTCTAATAAAACATTGGCTTAAGTAGCATCGGCTTGAAAATTTATGAAGAAGGAAAGTCTTACAAGCTTAAAATAAACCCTAAAATTTGCAGACAATAAAAGTTGCCTACTGTTTTTGTTTGTTTTATTACAGTGTTTAACAATGCTCTTTAAGTTGAGAAAGACCATAAACAGAGTCCACAGTGTTTAATAAATTGACATAGGATTTAAATATACTTGGAAGAGAGAATATTAATGATTTCAGCCATAAAGCTCTGAAAGTAGAAGTACAGCTTTATAGAAATCAAGAGGCATGATGAAGGGAAGAAGGAGGTAGAGGGAGCACAAAGGCACTGAAAATTTCTTCAAAAATAAGGTGGTGTGGAGTGGTCATCAGATGTTGTCTGAAGTCTGATAGCACAAGAAATGGAGTTCCAAAATTACAAAGGCAGCCATCAGACAAATGAAAAACAAAGTAATAGTAATGCCTGTTAAAATGGAGAAGATTTTATTAAAATAAATCTTCAACTTTAATAATGTTAAGGAAACAGTTAAAATTATAATTCAATAATAAAAGTACAAACATAATATTTGAAGACTTGGTAATATCTGACATAAGAGTTTAAAATATAGGGGGAAATGGTGGGCAGTGATATTGGCCAAATTATATTGCTATATTGTGTGCGTGTATGATATGTAACAATGAATTGCATCATATTGTACAACTCTCATGCACCAATAAAAAAATGTGGAAAGGAGACTGGGGATACAGCTCAACTGGTAGAGTATTGCCTAGCATACTCTACTCTGGGTTTAATCCCTAGTACCACCAAAGGGGAAAAAAATGAAAAAATTTGGAAAGAGGAAACATAGGTGGTTTGCATTTTGCTGGGAAGCAGGACAAGTTGCAGTGTAGGTGAGCAGACAGGATAGTGTGAGAAAGATGGCCAACATTCAGTCCTCATAATCTCTTCAGTTCTGTTCACACTTTTTAACTATGTGCAAGAACTACCTTGAAAAAAAATGACTTAAAAGAATAAAAAATAGGCAATGATTATATGAAATTTGGAGTTGATTTTGGTCCATAAAGCTGCCATATTCAAACATGACAAATAGCAACTCAAAATTAGGTTTCAGTGATCTCCCCTGAAAAATTCAGGAAACAGGGTTCCAAAATCTTCCTTTCAACTTAAAACTCCAATATTGGATTTTTTCCTTTATTTTTGAGAATATAATTAATGTTCAAAACATTTTAAGTATGATGAGTTCAAGTCTGTCTTTTTTTTTTTTGAATTTCCTTTTCTTTATTGCTTCTCTAATCACTAGGATTTTCTTTTATTAACTGAAATTTTTACTCTGAATAACAGAAAGGGTATACTGTGATTGTATGATGATCCTTCCCTCTAAGCATAATCATCTAGACAACAGTAAAAATGAGTGACTAAGATGGAGAAGGATGCCCCCAGTAGAGACAAAGGATGCCCTTCTTGTTATTGCTGAGTTTCCTAATAGTAACTCTTGATTTGCCAGTGATGTAGGTTGTTGAGGATTCTTTTCCATAGCCCCTAAGATTTCCACTCTCATATGATTCTGTAGCACATTACTTTAGATTATGACTCAGATCCTTTTTCCTTTTACTAAGACTTTCTGAAGAAATATTATCAACCTTGGTGAATTTTGTGAAAACCATGATATTTAACTTCATTTCCCCAACTCACTTTAACTTCATTTCCCCAACTCACTTATGAATTCTCTTTAAAATTTGGATATACATCTATAATATCATATTGAGTATTTTCACCATACTGCAAATTTCTCTGTGCTCCACTTATTCCATCCCTTCCTCCCTGCTACTCCCACTAGATCTTTTTATCTTGGCTATGGAATAACATTCCATTGTCTGGATATATGACTATTTGTCTATTCACTTACTGAAGAAAATCTTCATGGCTTCCAAGTTTTGACTATTATAAATAAAGCTGCTACAAGCATTTATATAAGGGTTTCTGTGTAGACACAAACTTTGAACTCTTTTGGATAGATACCAATGAGCATGATTGCTAGATTGCATGCTAAGGGTACTTAGTTTTGTAAGAAACTTGTAAACTGTCTTCCAAATTAGTAGTACCATTTTGCTTTTTTCTACCAGCAATAAATTAGTTCCTTTTCTTCTACATTCTTGCTAATATTTGGTGCTGTCTGAATTTTGAATATTCTAATGGGTATGTAGTAGTATCTTGTTTTAATCTACATTTACCTTATTATGGCTTATGATATTAAATTCGGTTGTCCATTTCCTTATTGTTGAGCTTTAAGAGTTCTTTATATATTTTCAATAACAGCTCCTTATCAGAGATTTATTTTGCAAATATTTCTTCCCATCTGTGGCTTATCTTCCCATTTTTTGCTTTGACATTATTTTTGCATAATGGAAGTTTTCAATTTTAATGAAGTCTAGTTTCTCAATTATTTCTTTCATGTATCATGACTTTGGTTTATCTAAAAGGCCACATACTCAAGGTCATCTAGAATTTATACTATGTTATCTTCTAAGAATTTTATAATTTTGTGTTTTATGTGTAAGTCTATGATCCCTTTTTGCTTAACTTTAAGAGGGAAGTAAGGCTCTTTGTCTAGATTATTATTATTATTATTTTGTATGCGGATGATCACTTTTCTCAGTATCCTTTATTAAAATGGCATCTTTGCTCCACTGTACTTCCTTTGTGCTTTCTTCAAAGATCAATTCACTGTATCTACAGGGGTCAATTTCTGAGCTCTCTATTCTGTTCTATTGATCTATTTATCTTTGGCTAATTTCACATGCCTTGACTACTGTAACTTTATTATAAGTCTTGAAGTCGGGTGGTGTCAGTCCTCCTAATTTGTTTTTGTTTTTCCTTCTGTATAATGTTGTTTGTTCTAAATCTTTTAGCCTCTGCATATAAACTTTAAAACCAGTTTGATAATGTCCATAAAATAACTTGCTAGGGACACACTTTATTTTTAAGATATTTTCTAATCTAAACTGTAAGCTTTCTGTGACTTCTATCTCCTCTATACAATATTCCTTTCTTAAAGGCACAAAGAGTAGTAATTGGGATCCCACCATCAAGCAAAGCTTTGCGAACACTCTACCGACATTCATTCACTAGGATTGGCTCCACTTCCCTCTTCCAAATGATGTAGAGACCATTAAAGATATGGTCCAGGGCAAGTCAGAGAATCTGAGCTTTCTTCACACATCTCACATTTACTCTGTGAATTCTCTGAGAATTGGGCATTTTTTTTTTCTGGGCAGACATAAGAGGTAGAGAAAATATATTTTAGGTTTCTCAGCTTCTAAAAGCGTAGTTTCATAATCCAGAGAATCTCTTGAAGGAAGAGCTGGGGTTCAGGGTTTCTTTCATGCAGGAAAAGTTAGAAATAAGTGTCAACACTGAGGCAACATAGTCAGAAGTGTGGGATTTTTCTCCCTGCCACAAAGCCAGGCAATGTCATTGTGTCCTGCTGCTCCAGGCAGTGTCTGTGTAACCACATGATTCTATTACCTTTTAAGTAAAAATGCACATCACCCTTGGACAGTTTTACACATTATTGCCAAGTCTATATAAAACATTTCCAAAATCTTTATTGTATTTCGAGAGCAGGCAACTCTATAAACTTATGTTTTATATCTCACATAATGCATTTTCTTGAGAAATATTTTGTCTTGGTTCTTTGGAAATTACAGTGAAGAGGTTCATGAGACATTATTTTGCCTATACCAAGGAATTAATTTCATGCATGAAGGGGCTATGCAATCTCTCAGCAGGGTGGGTCATCACTAACAGTGCAGCTCTTAGTCCTGGAGCCATGGGCAAGGACAAGGGACTCACTGAAGCTTTCTGGCTTGGGATTGTTGCTTTTTAAATAGAGACTGAGGGTGCAGATTCGAGTCCAATTGTGCCATTCATGCTGAAACTTTCCACTTCTCATTGGAGTGTATTATGGGAAAATGAGTGGGTGTGAGAGTGCACTTGGCTTACCATACGTATGCCCTTCACACCTAGATGGCCAAGATGTCTTTGTCGTCTCCTTGAAAAGAAGCAGAATTGACAGAGACAGATGGAAGCTTCATCTTCTTTATCTGAGAAGGAGAATTAATACAATGAAAATGAGTGTTGTGCTTACTAAATAGGCTCACCCTGATGATCACCACAAGCATATTTAAAATACTGATGAATATTTATAGAGGTTTGATATTAAAGAGAAAAAACAAGTGGATGCATCAAAGTGAAAAGAGAAAATATTCTCACTAGATTTATGAGTGATAGTGAGATTTTTCATTTGAGAACACAGGTATAGCTTAATTTAATAAAAGATAGAACACTAACATTTCCTAAAATAGAAATACAAAACAGAAAGCCCCAATGGTACAATAAGAATAAAATCAATCATTCCATAGTAACTAAAATAAAAAAAAAATTCTGGCTTTAGCATAGCAAACAAACCTTATTGATCAAGAAAATAAAGTTTCACTTGTTAATAAAAAGGTAAAAATAATACATTAATAGATGAACATTTATTTAGCAGGAAAAATTAATTCTAGTTTCCTAAAGTGGTGCTTATATAAGATATAAAATTTCAAGTCTATTTCAAGGGTTAGAAATTTGATGCTATACATACATGAAAGATATAAAATCTTCTTCCTTTGTACAAAAGTGAACATTTAAAAAATACCTTGAGTGTTTACATAATTTCTTTAAATGCACAAACTAAAGTATTAGTTGTAAAATATAATTTTTTTAACATAAAGTTTAGAATAATTGATTGGCTTCAGAACTCTGAGATTTCTTATTACTTTGCTAACCCAGATACATGCATCTGGATTCCTGTATCAGCTATATCCAGATTTTTAATAGTCAATTTACAATTGAATCTCATTTATTAATTTACTTGAATCTGGACTAGATGTTGTGTTTACCATAAGTTTATTGTGGGAGGAAATACAATAGAACTTGAGATTAAGAATGAAACGAAGAAATAATAAAGATGAAGGGAAAACTACCTTAAGAAAATACATTGATTCTGTTTTAACTTTCTTCCTTTAAACATAAAATAATCTTCATGAATTCCTAAAAAATTAATATTTTTATAGTGGACTATATCTTCAGAGTGTATATAAAAGAATTTACTTCTCTGAAAATAATGGACCATAAATTTATTTTTAACATACATGTAAGTCACAATCAGCTTTTCCTTCATTATCTATTTAATAAACAGTAAAACCATTTAGTATATTTGGGTTTATGGATTTGTTTTTCTACTTGTGAGGACTAAAAGTACTAGGGCCAGTGATTGAATAAGTTGGTACAGAAAAGTAATTTGTAGGTACATCAAATCAGTAAAATATTTACAAAGGTGGTGTGATTGTGAATGGAATTTTTTTTAACAAACTGCTGTCAGAATTTTCTTCCTCTTTTAAGTTCTTAATTCATTAGTATGTCATGGCAGGAGTAGAGATGTTCCCAATTCATTTGCTCTCTTCATTTTCATAATATTCCAAATGAAAAGTCATGAAATGAAATTCAATGCTTCTATCTCCTCTGTAATAGTTTTCCTGGAGGAAGTGAATATATCTTAAATTTATGTGAAAATGGAAGTTCTATATGACTACAAATATACTAGTAAAGCTATTTTTGTGACACTAATCTTGTTGCACTTTCCAGGTCACTGAAAACAGGACAGAGGCTCTGAGCTATGTGCGCTGCTAAGTGGAACTATTTTGTTTACAATGCGCCAATGCCCCATTTGCAGAGAACCACGATGCAATCATAGCAAGATACATAAAAGATAGATTTATTTTATAGCCAGACTTAAAAACAATAAAGGCAAGACCTCTCCAATTCAAATGTTTAATTTGTTTGATTAAATGCTATCACTGTATTGCTCAATGGCCTTTATCATGTTTAGTGACTTTGAAAGATAGACTTTTGGTGATGCCTTCTCTTTATCTATTTCATATAACTTTTCAGATATACTTCTGTTTTGAATATGCAAAGCAATAGGACACTAATTAGTTATCATGAGTTTCTTGTAATGATTGCACTAATATTATATTCTAGGAAAAAAACACAAAAGTATGGTAAAAGTATGTACCATTAGAATGATAATAGTTGTTCGAAGAAGATATATCCAGTGAAACTCTTATTCAAATGAGAAAATGCCTCTCCAAAACAGAAATGGATTTATCCAAGCACCTAAAAGTATTTGTATTAAAATTCATCAAATTTTGCAATCAGTGTTCTTTCTCACATTGTGTTGCCTTCTACAATGTAGTTGGGAGACAGTGACATGCAATGCCCGCTTTCCTAAATCTGTAATCTCTATCTTGAAGTTACATTTTTATGCAAACTTTTATTTTGAGGGAAAAAATTAACTAATAAATAGAGTCAGCTTAAGTTAAAATGGCAATTTTCTGTATGGTGGGTTTTGAAAGTCACTGAAGCAGCTCATGATTCAAAAATGTGTTTTCCTTCTCTGTTGTGGACCATGAATTTCCATCATTATTGTCACTTTTAAAGAAAAGAGTGTTGAAAAGTTCCTAGTTAATATAAAAAGGTGTTTATTTCTTTTTACAGAACACATTTTGGGAATATAATACTTGAACAGAACCCATTGAATTTAGTCAAGAGTGCTACAGAAAATTCCGATTTGGGAACATGGTGTCTCTGGAGCTTCAACATGCAGGGAAGGCAGGAAAGGTAAGAAGGGCAGTTGAAATTCCTTAGTACAATGTGCATTTATGGTGAACTGTCATTAAAATGCCCTCCAAATTTTAATGTCCTTTATCTGTAAACTTATCTTTCTCTCCTACACCCTGATTTCCAAGAATATTTCACCAACAGGCCTGAAACTGTACTTTAGGTGCTGCAACATAGAAGAGGAAAAGGAAAAGTCCTCTTGTTCTGGACCAAAGAAGAAAGAGTGCAGAAAATAATAACCACAGGTCCTGATGAAGTATAGGGGTTCAATTTTCCTGCAGTTTTTTTGGTATGAAGTACAGACTCAGAAGGCCTCTGATCTTCCAAAAAGAGCTTCTAAAAGTAACTACAATGTGAGCCAACAGGTCCACCATGGAGCTGGCTAGGGATGTGAGGACATGGCAGAGATTCATTGGAGAAAGGCAATGATGGGAGCCAAATGTGACCAGGGAAGGCCAAACCAGATGTGTAGACTAATTACCATTCATGTGCAAGTGCTAGCAGGCTGATCTGAGCCCAGACAGATGAGGAACATCCCTGTGACCCAGAAACACCAGAGAAATCCATGGACAAGAATGAGGTGAGAGTAATTGTGCAATGCTACCATACACACAAGCAGGTTGACTATAGATTCATCAAAATAGACTGTATCCTTATTGTTTATTAAACAAAAAAAATAGTTATTTCACTAATTTGTACCTTGGGGGGGTACCTCCAATGTAACCTGGGGAATGATAGCATTCTTAAAAAGAGGCAAGGAATAAACATAAAATATATTTAATTCATGCTAACTATATAAATTGATTTTGTTTACACAAACTTTGAAAGAGGCATTTGGTACTATTTACTAAATAGAAATGCTATAGATCAGGGGTTCCCAAACTTTTAGATTTTAGTACCTCCCTTAAAGTCCCTGAAGTTTTTTGTTTTCTTTTATACTCAAGACCAACACAAACAAAACAAAAATAAACAAACAAAAAACCCACTTAAGTTTCAGTCTTTAAGTAGGTAGATTTACAAGATAACATTTTTGTTCCCTAATAAAATTATTGTTATTTGTAGAATAATGATCAATTTTTTTTAGGATTTTTTAAAAAAATTTATTTATTTATTTTTACACGAGTATTATTATTATTATATTATTTGCATTAAAATTCTTAATACACCTTTATACCACAATTTATTATGTAATAATCAATTTTTAAAATATTCAAATTTTATCCTTAAATAACAACAAGTAAGTACTGAAGGGATGTATTATGCAACTTCTAAAACCATGCAGTCAGATTGGACATGGAAAGTTGCCATATTTTTCTTTTTCTACATTGATTTTTACATGTTACTTGCATTTTATCACAGGAACTGAAAGAAACTGAACTGTGCAAAGATATGTTGTCAATTATGGAATTTAGAATTTAATGTAGAAATTGAAGAGTTTTGCAAGCTAGTGTTAGAGTCTGTAAACAAGTCAGGATGGTGCCTGGCATTTTGCCAGGGGGAGTGGTTTGTGAGGTGGCGCCAGTGAGCCATTAAGTGTGGAGATTCCTTATTGGTTGACAGCTGTATCTAGTTTATGTTAATTAAGATAAGCTGTGTGGAATGTATAAATACCCCTCTGGTCCCACAATAAACGGTGCCTACTCCTGCTGCATCACGTTCCTCATCACCCCCGGGTTATTTTGCTGCAGCCAGACTATGGCAGATGGTGGCCCATTACGAGGAGCCCTGGGACACTCGGGGGTAAGTTGACGAGAAAAAAAGCTGCCTGTCCATAGATAGGACGGGAGCAAATCTGCTCGTCCCTAGGCAGATAGGGCGAAAGGAAAAATGGCCATTTTGACAAAATGGAGAAGATTGATACAGTATGTTTGTGTCTTGTTTTGTCTTGAAATGTTGTATTGTTTTTGTGACAAGAATACAGAAGGGGTGAGAAGTAAATTACTAAGGGAAGGAGGCACCCCAGTGGAACCAAGAGTAGTTAGGGCATGTATTGATAAAAGCCCAGGAACTCTAGTCAGAAAGAAAAGGAAAGTTCAGAAGAAGGATTATCAGGAAAAAAGTTGCAGCAAAATAACCGGGGTGTGACAAGGAACTTGCATAGATTGATACAGCAGGAGTAGGACCAGAGGGGTATTTATACATTTCACACAGCTTATCTTAATTAACATAAACTAGATACAACACTCAACCAATAAGGAATCTCCACACTTAATGGCTCACTGGCGCCACCTCACAAACCACTCCCCCTGGCAAAATGCCAGGCGCCATCCTGACTTGTTTACAGACTCTAACAAGCTAGTATTTTCATATGATGTCTAACAGAGATACCAGGTGCTACTATTTCTCTTCAAATGTTAATATGTCCTACAGTGTCCCTTAAAATTTGCTGT